AGGACTCGGGGCGAGGGTCTGGCAGTGGTACGCGGCCGGGGGTCTGCATGCCTAAGCGAGCCCGTGTCCTCTCGACTCCCTCTTCTCCCTTTTGTTCCCCTCTCCCACACCATGGCTGCCCGCCTTTCCCCCACGCTGGTGCTGGACGAGGCCTTGGAGAGCGACTCAGAGCCAGCGCTCAGGGGAAATATGACGAAAACCCCCTGAGCGAGGCTGAAGGTTCCAGGGGAGGCGTCAAAGAGCGAGGAGGAGGAGGAAGATGGGGCCCGAGTGCCGCTGCCAGCGGTGTCCCTGGTGATCTTCTCACTGCTGCAGCAGTGAGGGGGGAAAGTGCAGGGCGGCTGCAGGGGGCTGTGGTGGAGGTATTGGAGTGCAGTTTGAGAGGGGCCGTGCAGCTGCTGGAAGGCCTCTGGAAGCCCCTGGGCTGAGCCCGAGCTGAGGCGGCTGCCTGTCTTGTGAAAACAAAAGTTAGTGGAAAATTGGTGTGAAGGTTCAACCTCTACTGCTTTCCCACCAACATCCAACTCTGTTGTTGTGGGCAAACAGGAGGCATTACCTTTGGAGCAGTCCTCATTAAATGTATAGTATAGGTAATGTACACAAGTACAAATGTTACTTTAATTTTTAATGATCTTTCACTGTAAGGTATTAAAAAGAAAGCAACAGTAATATAAAACCAGTGGGATGTGTGACCTTGTTGTGAAAGTACCATATCAGTCAGATTCAGTGGCAGTGATTGCAATTCTCAGTGAGTTGTCAAGGTCTTTGTCAGAGATTCTTGATGGAGTTTTACTCTTTCTGTGGTTCATCCTTGAAAACACTTGTTGACAAATGTACGTACAGCCAAACAGCAGTGACAGGAGGATGGTGTGACTGTGAAACAAGGGGTGTTTCTCTCTGTCACAGAGGGCTTATCCAAGTCTGGTAAAGAGACATGATCAGATTTTTGATTGCAACTTTATTTGCAACTAAGATTCCGGTTGCAAATCCACAGGGAACGTACTTACATCGACAGAAAATGGAGTCACAAATAAACTAGTGATTTTTTTAGGCAGTCACGTTGAAACTTATCCTCGCATTCCTTTATCACAAAAAAACCTGGCTGCATCTTTTTTGTTCTCACAGGACTGTAAGGCAACGTAATAAAATGCATAAACTGGTTTGCCGTAACCTGAGCTGGCGCGGCGCTGCGCCCTCCCTGTCCCTGCTTTCAGCCCGGGTCGGGTTCGCAGCACACTGATGAGAGGAGCGGCTGCACTGCAATGCAAGCTGTGCTGGGCCACGGTTTGGACATGGCTGCTCTGAACAGCTGGACGTCTGCCCTCCGGAAGTCCAGGACAGCAGTTCTGCTGACCCCCCTGTATCCCATGCAGACTGTGTAAACACTTGGAAGATCCACCCCTTGGAGGCCCTGACTTCCACACAGACCCTGTAACGAATGAAAGCCCATCTTATTGACAAGCTGTATCTTGTGGAGACCCTACCCCCCGTGGGGACCCCATAACCCTTGGAGCCCAGCCCCACTGACAACCTATACCTCATGAAGACCCCCTGGAGACACATAATCCTGTGTAGAACCCACCTCCTCAGGCCCCACTCTGTCAGACCCAGACCCCATCCTTGCAGCTTGGGCCCAACGTGGCCGATATCCCAGATGACCTTGTGTATCATGCACATTACCACCTCCCGCTCCCTTGAGGCCAACACAACGGTGGAATTATGTCAATAAGCATTTGATACTTTGGTACTTTTAATGTTGCTCTTCTTGCTCTGTTGGAGGTTATTATTGGAGGGATAATGCCCTGCCCTGGTGTGTTTGGGAATCACAAGACCTGAATGGCTGAACCACAAAGGTCAATTTAAATGAAATGAGTTACGTGAGGATAGGGAAAACTGTCCCTGTACATTTCTTTATCTCTGGAAGCAATTGCTGCTAATGCATTGCTCCCAGAGTCCACCGAAGAAAAGTGAAAGGGAAAAACAATGGGTTCGCAGTCTCAAAGATGTCCCCCAAGGACAGAAAAGTGGGAAAAATTGATGACAAATATGGGAAGAATGAGTGAAAAGGGCACAATTCAGCCCCAAGTGTGTCAAAAGTGATAATATTCTGGTGTCAGCAAGGAAGGGAAATTGCCCTGAAATTGGCCTTTAGGCTCATTAAGGGCTAATTACTTGATAAAGCATGATACCATCAGCATGAAAATGAGATTGTAATGAGACAGAATCTTCCAGTCCCAGAAAGAGCAAGCCCAGAAAAGATGAAACCAAGTACCCAATTAGAAACTATAAAAAGAGATCGCCTTGTAAACGTCCATGTAGGAGTAACTGTGCTTCTATCTTGGGTAGTGCTGCCTTAGCAAAAGATTGCCAAGCTCCTTGTTCTGCAGAATTAAGAGAGAAAGCTCTGTGAAGAGGTTTCCATCTTAATTGTGGCTCTGTGTGCTGGCACACCAGCATGAACCTGGTCCCTGATGGCATAACAGGATGGCTCTGGGGTCAGCGCTGTGGCAGCAGGGACTAAGGGGGTGTTAGGGGGGATCTCCTGCAGGCTGGTTGGGTTAAAGACTACCCAAGCTCAGGGCTCCCTGAGTCATTTAGTGCCCATCCAGGGGCTCATCTTCCCAAGGTGCCCATGAGCTGAGCTCACTCAGAACCTCCCTGAGACGGTTTTCACTGTCCCTGGAGGTCCTGGATGAGGTGACTGTTGGTAGCCTTCAGAGTGTCCAGGAACAGATCCTTGCAGGCGACGTCCCAGCTGGGCACGAAGCTGTAGAGGAGCCGCATCTGCTCCTGCATGGTGGGCACTGCTCGGATGCTCTGGTACTGCTCATTGCTCAGGACGTGCCCATAGAGCCGGTCCAGGACAGTGCTGACAGATGTCACTCGTTGGATCAGCTGCTCTCGGTGCTGCTCCACAAAATGCAGCCCTGCTACGGTAGAAGAGTGAGTGGCTGGGTGCTGCTGCTGAGTAGGAAACATCCCGCCTTTGGCAAGACTGAAGGACCCTTATCGCTGCTTCTTGTTCGCTCTTGGCATGGCAGATTAAGCCATCTCATATCTCCCTCTTCTGCCAAGACTTCACACAAGGGAACAGCCCAAAGGCAGAACTCATCCCAGTCCTCCTCACCTCAATCTCTACCTAGGTTTCTGAAGTATTCTTTCTGATTTGACATCACGGCCTCATGGCCTTCCCCTCCAGCTCTCTGGGGTACGTTAGGGAGAACAAAGAAACTCTCTCTCCACATTGGATTGACTGACCTGGACCTCCAGGCCAAAGCCACTCCCCCTAAAGGAAGAACATACCTGAGTACGAAGGAGGAGAGGCAGCTGGAGGCTCAATGTCCCCTAGAGAAGAGCAAAAAAGGAGAGTGGAGGGCACAGATTGAAAACAGGAGGCTTGGACACACACCCTGACAGATGTCAGCAACCCCCGCTCCCTTACCAAACTTGAGGCCTCATTTCAGGCCTCACTGAACCCAGGGCTGCATCACGTCCTTCCTACCTGCCCTCAGGAAGGCAGCCCACAGTGGGTCACACTCCTTTTCACCCTCCTGGGCGACCTTCATCAAAGTGAGCTGCATTCCCTCCTGGAGGTCTTTGTTGTAGATCTCGGTGTGGAGCTGGCGGCTGTCTGATGTCAGGTAAACGAATTTCAGCTCCTGGCAGAAGCAGGTTGGCGTGTCAGAGCATTGCCATCCTTCACAGCAGTTGTGGGGCACACGGCCCAACTCACTTGAGGGTTTATCTCTGCCTGTGAAGGACCAGATACGCGGTACCATGTGTTAAAGTTCAGCGGTCGTTTGGTCTGGGGAGGTTTGTTCACCAAGAGTGAATGGCCTCGTCTCTTCTCATCCTTGTCCACCACCTGCAAAATATTGTACACTGACTGTGGGGAGAAATTATGATGGGTGAAGTGAGAGAAAAGCAAGGATAGAAAGCGAGTAGAAAGAGCTACAAGGAGATCTGGTGGGCAGGATTAGCGTCGTGACTCTTGGGAGCCGTTTTGCCAAAGGCTTGCTTGTACCACATGAATCCAATCTCTCCACAGAGGAACCCATCTCTTGACTGCGCAAACATGACCATCTTCGGAGCCACAAAATCAAACGTGGAATCAGAGCTGCACTCACCTTTTCCAGGCCGTGGTTGTTGGGGATGAGGTAGAGATGAAGGGTGATGTCGGCAGCCCTGATGACACGGTAGAGCAGCACAAGGGAGTGCACGGGGATGAAGGGGAATGCGGCAGAAAGCAAGATGACTCCCATGGGGGAGAAACTGGGGTCCCTCAACTCTGCGTGGAATGGCTTCACTGCATCAGGATTCTCCAGGAGCAGGTTCCCATTGACGACATGGCCGATACGCATCTCAGACGTGTTCACATTTCCCTCTGTGAACGGTCAAAATGTGTCACAGATCAAATTGCCCTACTGGGGAGAGTGCTGATGTTCCCCCAGGGCTGTTTCAGCCACCAAGCCATCATCCTCACTGCGTTACCTGCGAGACACAGGAAATGAGGGAGATGAATGGCCTCGACAGCACCCAGCGTAGCACGGATGTCGAACACCGGTCCAGCCTCCATCCATCCAGCGGGGATCCCATCAGGCAGGTGACGTTCCCAGAAGGAGTACTTGTACTCAACAGTGGTGGCCGTCCTCACCAGGAACTTGAGCTCTGTCTCAGCACAGCGGAAGAAACCGGCCCGAGGGAAATGAGCTCTGTGCAGCATGGAAGGAGAGGAGAAAGAGACTGTCAGGCTGGACACCTGGCCGTGGGATCACCCTGCCTTCTGTTGGCCATTTCTCAGCACTCCCAGCCATCACGTGCTCACCTGTATGTCTCTTTCTTGCCTTCTTTGCCTCCAGTAATCTCTGGCTTCACTTCTTCTGCCCTGTCATCCTGAAGAAGAAGCAGAGAAGCACAGAAATGTTTAGGCTCAGTGTTGGAGACAGTTTTGCTTAATGAAGTCCTCATCTCTGGAGGGATATAAGAGAAGTGCGGATGAGGCATTTAGGGAAGTATATAGTGCTGGACTTGTGTTAGGTGATGTTTGGACTTGATCATGTAGGCTGGAATAGAGCCATAAGATTCCATGACTTCTGTGATTCTGTCATTCTATGAATCCATGATTCTTTGATTCTATAATTCCATGTTCAGGCAGGTTAATGGTTGGACCCGATGACCTGAGAGGTCTCTTCCAACCGTAATGATTCTAGAATCGTATGACACAGTCCAAACCCCCCAGCAGGGCCACCTAGAGCAGGCTTCCCAGGCCCATGTCCAGCTGGCTTTTGAAGAACCTCAGAGAAGGAACTCTAGATCCTCTCTGGACCACCCAGTGCTCTCAGGCTTTCCTCATGGCAGAAGTGCTCCAGGCCCTGAATCCCTGGTGAGAAACACCAGAGATGGAAGCATGCAAGGGTGGCCCAAAAAACCTCTCTGAAAAGAGCAGGAGAGCCCAGCACCTTACCTCTGGCCAGGGACACGCCATGCATTTGGCACCTGAGTGTGTGCCACTGTCACTCTCCATCTGTGGAGGCTCACGTTCTGGAGGCGCACACGGTGTGAACAGATTTTGATTTCCCATCAGTTTTCTCCAATTTGTGTCTGTGCTCTCAGATATTGCTGTAAAGTAACACAGTTATCTCCTGTATCTCTCCATGCCCACAATCTGCAATGGCCTCTTCCCCTCCACTCTGTGCTTGCATTTCCATCGTTATCATAGAATCCCAGAATCGTTTGAATCGGAAGAGTCCCTTAAAGGTTATCCAGTCCAAATCCCCTGCCATGAACAGGGACATGTGCAGCGGGATCAGGTTGCTCAGTTCAATCTGACCTTCACTGTCTCCAAGAACGGGACATCCAACTGCTCCCTGGGCAACCCTTGCCAGTGCCTCACCACCCTTAGTGTAAAAAAATTCTTCCTTATATAGAACCTAAATCTTCCCTCCTTTAGCTTGAAACTATTTCCCCTTGTTCTGTCGCAGCAAACCCTGCTCAAGATCAAAGCAGGTCCTAACAAGAGAAATGCATTTGGGCAAAAGGATGAGGGGCTTGCTTTGGCCTGTGAAAACTGTAGAGTCATAGAGTGTCATCCTGCAGTGCTGAATGCATAGCTGATGGAGGGAAAGCAAATGACAAGGACTGTCTGGACCCTTGTACATCTTACTGCACAGATTGGAATGGGAAGGGACACTGGGAGCGTGATGTCGTTCAGCAAAGGAGTGACAGTGCTGAGCAGATCAGAGCTCACCTGCTTCTTCTATCCCACCTGGATAGCTCACAGAACTGGACAGGCAGATGCCTGCAGGAGAGAGGAGACCAGTGTGAGGTTGATGTGTGCAGGGTGAAGTGATTGTCTCGATTTCCTAGGGAAGGCTCCTTGGGGCAGAGCAAAGCAGCTCCTAACAAGAGGAACACATTTGGACAACGGGAGGAGGGAGTTGCTTTGACCTGCAAGAACCATAGAGTGTCATCTTGCAGTTCTGAGAGCATAGCTCAGGGAGGAGAACCAAAGGCCAAGACTGTATGAATCCTTGTCCATCTTACTGCACAGATTGGAATGGGAGGGGACATTGGAAGGGAGATGGAGTTCAGCAGGGGAGTAACAGCATTGAGCAAATCAGAGCTCACCTGGTTCTTCTATCCCACCTGGATAGCTCACAGAACTGGACACCTGGATCACTGCTGGAGAGAGGAGACCAGTGTGAGGTTGACGTGTGCAGGGTGAAGTGACTGTCTTGATTTCCTAGGGGAAGGCTCCTTGGGGCAGAGCAAAGCAGCTCCTAACACGAGAAATGCAGTGTGTGGAGACAGGACAAGGGGAAACGGACAGAAACTGCAGCATAGGAAGTTCTACATGAATGTGCGCAAGAACTTCTTTACGGTGAGGTGACGGAGCACTGGAACAGGCTGCCCGGGGAGGTGGTGGAGTCTCCTTCTCTGGAGATGTTCAAGACCCACCTGGACATCTACTTGTGTAGGAAACCTGCTTTGGCAGAGGGTTGGACTCAGTGATCTCTGGAGGTCCCTTCCAACCCCTACGATTCTGTGATTCTGTGAAATGGATTTGGGCAACAGGAGGAGGGAGTTTCTTTGGCCTGCAAAAACCATAGGGTGTCATCCTGCATTGCTGAGTGCATAGTTCAGGGAGGGGAACCAAAGGCCAAAGACTGTATGAGTCCTCGTCCATCTTACTGCACAGATTGGGACTGGAGGGACATTGGAAAGGTGATGCAGCTCTGCAAAGGGGTGACGGAGCCAAGTAGCTCAGGGCTTACCTGGCATTTCCATCTCACCTGGATATGTCACAGGACCGGTCCAGGAGGTATCTGCAGGAGAGAGAAGACAGTGGTGAGTGCAGATGTGCAGGGTGCATCGATGCCTTTTGGAAGTCTCACTGGGGAAGAGCAACACAGCTCCTAACTGATAGAAGTGCATTTGAGCAACAGGGGGAGGAACTTGCTGTGGATTGTGAGAGTAAAAGAGAGTGGCATCCTGCAGCACTGAGTGCATAGCTCAGGGAGGAGAAGCAAAAGCTGAGGACAGCCTGGATCCTTGTCCATCTTAAAAGGGATTACTGCATAGACTGGGAAGGAGGGGATGTCGGGAGGGTGATGCAGTTCAGCAAAGGGTGACAGCGCTTAGCAGCTCAGAGCTCACCTTGTTCTTCCATCCCGAACTCATCAAAGCATGATTCAGCCCTGGTATCCGCTGCAGAGATTAGACAGACAGTGGTGAATAAGTGTAGGATTAAAGATCCACTTGAGCTGTCATGAAGCTCAAAGCATGCATCTTTCTCAGGTGCTCTTAACATTCTCTCCCACGTGTCTGCTGCTGTTGAGCACCAGCTCCCATAGAAGTGTCTCCTGTCCAACCCAAGGACAAAGGCACAGAGATGCGCCCATGTTCCCCCCATTCTGCTGAAGGCTTGGCCTCTCTTTGGACAAATTTCCCAGCTGGAAAGATTATCAGGGTACATTCTTACCTAAATATTGCAAGAAGATGGAGGGATTATTTCTCATCAGTACATCATATAGGCAATATTTGGCTGTGACGTCCCATGCTGGCACCAGTTCATAGAGCTTCTGCATTCTATTCAGGTTGGTGCTCTCTGCCATGATGCTGTCATGCTGCTCAGAGCTCAGCACACCTTCCTGGAGGAGTTCCTTCATGGTCCCATCCACGTTATAGACTTTCTGGATTAGGAGGTCACTGCTCCATTCAACAAACCTTGCCCCTTGCAGAGAACAGGAGGAGGAACGTGGTGATTTGGTGACTCAGAGCTGCTGCGGCCCATTCCTGGACCTCATCTCCCTCAGCTCACCCTGGTTCAGCTTGTCCAGGAGATCGTTGGCCAGAGCCATCCATCCCATGGCCCACAGCACATTTGCTGTCACCTCCACACAGTGGGACTGCCCAAAGTGGCTGTACAGCAAGCTGGCGAGCGCTGCTGGCGACAGATCCATCACACTCTCCAGCTCGATGCACTCGTACCCCTCCTTAGGCTGGATCTTGCTGAGTTCAGCCTTGAACTCTGTGAGAGCATGCTTCCCCAGTTGCTCCAGGCTGTACCATAGGAGCTCGACCACTGCGTTCTCCTTCCTGCCTCCTGATGCCATTGTTCAGCACAGTGCTGCTGCAGTGAAGAGGCTTTGGAAATGCAGTTCTTTACAGCAGGAGCCTTTCAGGATATTTGGGACTCTCACCTGATTCAATGGGAACAAGAACCTTCTTCTGGGAATTCCTCCAGAATGACTGGTTACCGTGCTGTGGTTACAACAGGAGCTTCCATGAAGATTTTAGGACCAGAGCAAGAGCAAACAGCTGTTAGGCTCTTCACCAAGGGTCACTCCTGAACCATTTGGTGAAAAGTGAAAACCTGGGTCTGGATGACATTTATCTTGTGTTTGCCTTGTTTAGTTTAGGGTAATTTGATAATTTAGCATAATCCAACAGATGGTGTTTCACCTGGCAGTGCTAAAGGATCACCTAAAGCCCAATAATTTTGAATGGTTAATTATACATACAATTCAATTTCAGAGCTCAAGTTGTTTAAAGGAACAGTCTGCATCACATCAAGCCAGGCCGAAGTATTTACAATACCTGCTTCGAGTTCAGCAGTTCCAAATTCTGGAACGTGTGTACGAAGCAGTGGAGTTTTGTTGCTCTGTCACAGTTGCTGCTGAATCATCAATGTGGAAACAATTACTTCCCCACTGCACTCCTCCCAGCTCCCCCAGATGTTTCTGTCCCAGCCACTCTCACGCACAGCTGTGCACACAGTCGTGGGCTTACAGGGCATTGGGATTGCCATGAGCCACTGCTTATCCCACTGTGGCATCCCTGGCAGGTGTGAGGACAGACCTCAGGGCCCTGCTTACAAGCTGAGTGCAGGAATCCATCAACATTCTAGCAAGCAGCACTGCTTACCATTACCTACAACTTCCAGCTTTAGCATAGATGGCTGTTGCACAGAACTTCCAGCAATTAGCACAGCTTTCTTACTACCTAGAATCCTCAGCTCCCCTGACTTCTCACTCACCCAGAGCCTCGGCGATCAGCTGTTCATCAGCACGCGATGCAATTTATCACCTAAACTCAGACTCCACGGGATCACGAGTCGCTCATTCGATCCTCAGAGGGGAAGATGAAGGTGAAAGCATCCCCGGGCGCCAAGGGACCACAGGCTTTGCAGCAGCTGCGGCCTGAGCCCCACTGAGGCTGTTCTGCTGCCGGATGCTCTGCTGCTGGACGTTATGTGCAATCTGTCAATTTTGCTTTCACTTCTGGTCTTTGAGCATTCTTACGGGAAGAGCTCTGCTGCCTGCAGGATCTGATCCAAAAGCAGTGTTCCCAGAGCTGGGTGACACAATGCAGAGGAAGGAACGGGAATGACACATGAGGGGTTGTTTCTGAGCACAGCTTTGTGCATTGGTGTGGAATCAAGAAATCGGAGAATCCAGAGTCAGAGAGTCAGAACACAACAGCAACTTGAAAAAATTGCTCGAGTGCTGTGCTTTAAAGCACACGGGCTATTGGAATGCTGAAGGATAGAACTCCATCCTCATAGACAGCACACATTCCCAAATCTCTACACGTAAAGTAGTGTGTTTGTTGTTGTTGTATTTTAACTTTAGCCTCCACGTTTTTGCTGCAAATGAAATTTTTGAATATATGCTTGGTGTGGATAAAGGAGACAGATCAATTGCAGGAAACAAATGGGGTAATTTTATGTTTCTCCCATGGAGTATTAGCATTGCAATGTGCAAGTCTATGAGGTCAGAGATGCTCTTTTTGTTTGTGTAGTGCACGTGAGCACTCTTCCTTCCATGAATTATGCCAAAGGAGGTGGGAATACAAGAGAAACTGTTCAGAGCAGCAGCTGTGGAGCAAGATAAGCAGCATGAGAACCAAGGACACCTTTGGAAGAAGAAAGAAGGTCTCACAGCTCTGACTGGATAAGCGCCCTTGTGAACGGTCAGAGTATTTTGCAGAACACTCTGTTAACATGTATGAAGAGAGCAGTGCTGAACAACAGAGTAGACTCACAGCTTTTAACCACAGTGGTGTGCTGCTGCGTCTCCGACCGCATTCCTGAGAGTCAGAGACCTCCCCACAAAAGGAAGCTTTGAGAAGGGCACAGTGGTGTTGGATTCCTTTCAGGAAGATCATAAACCTCAGTTCCCTCCCTGTATTAAGTTCAGTATTAGAAATGGAATTTAAAGTACATCTTTTGAGGAAGCAAACCTCTGAGCACTTGTAACTTGCAGTGCTTTGACTTCTGAGATAACCCATTCCATTAGCAGTGCCGAGTGATGCTGTTCCATGCCATCAGTTGTGAGCTCGCTCCCTGCAAAATTTCCCTCTGAGGGAGCGAGGAAGCAAACTGTGATTTTGTGCCCACTAACTCCTGTTAATGCTGATCTGCTTCTGTCCAGCACCAAATTAGGACTGCAAAGGTGCTGTAAGGCCCCACAGGGAGAAATTAGAAGGGCAAAGCACAGCTGGAGCTTCATCTGCCTTCTGCCATTAAGGACAATTAAAAATGCTGCTCTAAGTATATGAGCAACTGAAGGAGGACACAGGAGAATTCTCATCCTTTCTGAGATGTGGGGGAAATGCAGGGAGGGAAAGGCTGAGGTCCTTAGTGTTTGCTTGCCTGAGTCAAGTTCTGCGAGGATTCTAGACTCCTTGATTTCAGAGTACTTCAAGGGCAATTAAGGGTAATTTTTTTCCTCCATTCTATCACAGTGCTGTGTATCTTGACTGTATTTCCAAGATTGTAGATGCTACGATGTTTCCACGATCATTCAGCACTTCTAGATTCTCCAATTCTATGATTCATAGAATCACAGAATTGATTGGAATGGGAATGGAAGGGACCTGAAGAGATCATCGAGTCCAACTCCCCTGCTAAAGCAGGTTCTATACAAGAGGTTGCACAGGTAGGCATCAGGATGGATTTTGAATACCATCAGAGAAGGAGACTCCACAACGTCTCTGAGCAACCTGCTCTGGTGCTTCATTACCCTTACTGTACAGAAGTTCTTCCACGTGTCTGCATGGAACTCCTTATGTTCAAGTTTGCTCCTCGTCCTACCACTGCACACCAAGAAGAGCCTGGCCCCTACCATTTGCCTCCCACCTCGCTTTAAATATTTATAAACATTCATCAGAACCCCCTCAGTCGTCTTTTCCCCAGGCTGAGCAGGCCAAGGTCACCAGCCTTTCCTCCTAGGGGAGATGCTCCAGCCCTTTATTGCTTTTGTCACCCTCTGATGAACTCCTTCTAGGAGATCCCTGTCTTTTTTGAACTGGGAAGCCCAGAGCCAGTCACGCTATTCTAAATGTGGCCTCGCTAGGGTACAGCAGAGGGGGAGGATCCCCTCCCTTGTCCTGCTGGCCACGCTCCTTTTCATGCACCCCAGGATGCCCTCGGCCTTCTTGGCCACCAGAGCACACTGCTGGCTCAAGGCCACCTGTCATCCACACTCCAGGTCCTTCTGCACAGAGCTCCTCTGCAGCAGCTCGTGCCCCAACCTGTACAGGAACATGTGTGAGAAACACCCAGCTTCCATCATTGTTGTTCAGGCAAAGATTTCAGTGAAGCAGCAAAGGTTTTTTTATTTGTTGCAACAGCAGGCATGCACCCCTCCTAACAAGGGAGAAAATGGCACTGGATAAGTGAAACACTTGTCATTATATCCCTTTCTCCCATCACAGGAGATTCTGTTTCCCTACTGGGCGGGTACTCCAGGCTTACACAGTGCATTTATTAATCCATTTTTCCACATGAGGTCAATCAGCAACCTATTGCTTTTAGGATCATTTTGTCCATTTCTATGGACATTGGAGGGCAATATTTCTTGAAACTGTTAAACCTGTTTTATCCTGCGCCAGGCTTTCCTTCCCCTGCTCTGTATTTTTCCTTTCCTTTTACATATGAAAGCAGTGTTTAAGAAGAAACCCAGATCAGAAAATACCTAAAGGTTACTAAACTCCAATGCCTGATTTATGATACATGTTATGCTGTGCTAGCAAGCCTAAATTTAATTATACATTTATAATTATTTAGCAGTCTTTCCCACGCATATTCCTTTGCAAAAGCTTGCACTGTTCATCTATGATCACAGTGGGTATTGCCCAAACTCTCTGGATTAATTTCTTGCCACGCCCAGGGCATCACAGCCTCTCCTCTGTCCTGCTGCTCAGCATCTTTATAGTGAAAAACAACCCAGCCAGCCATTTTAACCTATGCAGCCATTCTGTAAGAAAATTGTAAGTTCCGTAACTTGGTACTGGAAGCTTCTACAGCAAAAACACAATCTGACACACATGCATTTATTCCTCCACAGGCAAGAGACTCTACACTTGCTCTTGTTAAACTCCACCAGGTTCCTCCCTGCCCAACTCTCCATTCTGCTCAGGACTTGCTGAATTGCAGTACAGCCTGCCAGTATGTCAGCCACTGCTCCCAGATTTGTATCAGTTTTGCCTCAACCATACTGGGGCCATTGATGAAGATGCTGAACAAGACTGGACCCAGCACTGACTCCTAAGGAACATCCCCAGATGCAGCCCTAAACCAGACTGCACCGCTCACAACAACCCTCTGAGCTCTACCAGTCAGCTAGATGCCAATCCTCTCATCTATCCCACACTTGCTAAGGTTCATAACAAGGATGTCATGGGCGACAGTGGCAAAAGCCTTGCAGAAGTCAAGGTAGACAACATCCACTGCTCTCCCCACACCCACCAAAGCAGCTCAGAGCCTTCCATTGCGAGAATTTATCTGAATGTGCCCCTGGGAGAGGAGCAAAGAGGGATTTTGCTTTGGGGCTGGGGTAGAGAAAGGACTTTGAGACAGAGTAGGCACCCTGTGCAAGTGGGGCACTGAAAAGCCTGCCTAAGGAAGGTGAAGGTCACTAAGATTCCCTTTTGCGCCCTTTTCACATTAACCATTACAAGGGTTGGCGTTAGACTTGGGTACATCAAGGATTTCGGTTCAGGATAGGGTTCTGAGAAAGAAACAGTCCTGCAAGAGGACTCGGGGCGAGGGTCTGGCAGTGGTACGCGGCCGGGGGTCTGC